GGAAGCGGGGGGTAATATACGATCGTACGAGTAGTAAGTCGCCTTTGGCTAGGTTTCTGCATTCTCGAGTTAAGTCTGCCCCTTGTTTTTCCTCCACAATTGAGACAACTTGTGTCCAGTAGAACCGGTCCAATCTCTGGGGGCGAGATGGCCCAAGTGGTTAGAGCGAGAATTTACTGACCGGAATGCCCGTGGTTCGAACCCGACCTCTGCCTCTCGACTTCCGCTGTCTAGGCTTGGGCAACCTGGCAGTATTCCAGCCCTCGTGCAACCTTCGGGTAGCATGGCAGCTAGGCACCGGAAGGGTGTTACAGCTGAACGATGATTATTATTTATAGGTCCATTCTCTGGAGTCCCTTATCAGATCGATGAACTCCAGCTATCGGGATTTCGCAGTGAAGATCACCGGTTAATTCTTTGTGACGCGAAATACTATATGCAATAGGAAGATTACGATGAAACTACTATACTCGAAAGACTTAGTTCCTCCCATCCAACGAACGGTTTCCTCCCTTCCTGGACATGCATGTCGCATGGCACCAACATAAAATGCCTGACGCTTATAGACAGCCGTTTCCAATAGCTACCAGTTTTGTCGTCTGGGGCTATTTGCAAATAGACGATTCATATGGGAACAGTGTTTGATCGATTATGTTTCGTAGTCCCAGACAATCGAAATTGGAACATTTCTAAACGAATATTGCCTACATCCTGTCTGCGCAGCAAACGATTTCGAGCCATGTGGGTGTATCCAACGTGGGGAAAACAAAGGTCTAATTAGGAGACAAGTGAGTGGGACAGACAAACCTTTAGACAGAATAACAGGGTCTTCTGGATGACAGGCAAACAGGGGCGAAGGAAACCGGCGTAACTGGGAACCATTTCACGAAGGACTGACAGAGCTTGAATTCGGACCTGAAGTGGTTGATCAGGCGACAATGTGTCCGCGATCGACTCGGAATAGCGCGAGTCCCAGGCGAATGTGGATACGTCTGGGTGAATCAGACGGAGGCATACCTGGGTGAAAACAGGAATATTACAAGTCTGTTACAATAAAACGAAGACAACCTGAATTTCACTTCAAAGTACGAGCGAGGGTGATATAAGACGGGATTTTACATATGGGCGTCGGGTGCAGGATATACGAAGGCCAAATGCTCCATTATAATTCATCATCGTCATCAAACACAGCAACATCAGTGTTGATACTGTTGCTTCACTGCCGTACAACCACAAAGTTTGTCGAATTGTATTTAGAAATCGTTCAGCTGTAGCACCCTTTCGGTGCCTAGCTGCCATGCCACCCGGAGGTTGCACGAGGGCTGGGATACTGCCAGGTTACCCAAGCCTAGACAGGGGAAGTCGAGAGGCGGCGGTCGGGTTCGAACCACGGACCTTCCAGTCAGTAAATTCGCGCTCTAGCCACTTGGGCCATCTCGAATTGTATTTAAAACCTTAGTGAAAAGGATGAAAAAAGTCGGTGAGGGAGGGAACCTGGTGCAAGCATTCTGGGGTGAATACACCTCCAACTGTTTCAATCTGGAGAGGAACTCACAACATGAACACAACTGACATCGATTAGCCACCATTTCTTGCAATGTCTCCAACCAAGCGCGAGAGGTGTCATGGGGACCTAACCCTGGAAGGCATACCGCACCAACAACACCCGATGTCCTCGTAATTTTTTTTACACCCTACTGCCAAATGATACGTTATTCACCTCGCGGTTCCCGCCACTTTGAAGGAGGCACGGAGAATAAAACTCGTCTCGGTAGACGGTGTTTGGGCATGCGTAGCACATGGCCCAACAAACAGCGTCGATGGTGTGGGTGTTTTGTGCAACTGCAGTACCTGCTGCACAACCAGATACTCGTTCCCATAGTACCTCGTTACGAATTCGTTGACGCCATCCGTCACGAAGAGACTGGACCTTACCGTGGTGTGGCGGTTTGGCGATCCACTGAGCTGTACTGGGGAGTGTCCGCACGATGCTCACAGAGTCTCTCATACCAGGTTGGTCCATGGGTAGAGGTCCGACGAACACAGCCTCCTGGCCCTCCAGGTTGGGGGCTGGAACATGTATGGCGACGTGTTCCGTATTTGCATTTCCAGCTCCTTGCATTTCCAGCCGAACGCCGCTGCCTTGCGGTTAGGCCTTTGAGCCAAAGGCTTTGGTTGAGGACCCTAATCGTCCTCCTGTCTAGGTGTGGGCGCCCTGGCAGTATCCCAGCCCTCGTACAACCATGACCTACACAACTAACAATATTCTCATGCCACATCGGCCGTCGCGTGGTGCCATCAGCCGGGTCGCCTTACTTGCTGCATACAGCAGGGCGGGTAAGCGAAAACATGCTACTGCTGACGCCTCCCTTCTTACACTTTCACGTTTTCCGTCTTCCACCCTCCCCCGCCCAAATTTGAATACTTTATCCGCAGGTCCCAGCTCTAGGACTGACCGTTTTGCTCGCCCTGCATCACACTCAGCTGCAGCTTCTGCACATCCGAGTTCAGTTACAACCCTAAACACTTCGAAGTCTGTTTTCAAACCCCGAAAGCCTGTCTACTTAGCCACCTTCAATGTTCGCACACTGAAGCAAGCAGGTGGCGCATGACTTGGCAGAAAGGCGTGCAAGAGATCATGAAGAGTTTGGGTGTTGGTGGTGTTGTACGCCTTCCAGGATGGGGCCCCCGTGACCCCGCCTGTGCTTGGCTGGAGACGTTGCAAGAAATGGCAGCTAACCGATATCAGTGGCGTTTATGCTGTCAGTTTCCTTCCAGATTGTCTGATTGAGTGTTTGGAGGTATAGGCACCTCAGAATGCTTGACACAGGTGAGCATGAGGTCCGCTCCGTCGGTCACTCTCTTCTCTTCTTTTAATAAATTATACATATATATAACTAGACTAATTTATGGTTGTACGGCAGTGAAGCATCAGTGCCAACACTGATGTTGCTGTCTTTGATGATGATGATGATGACGTCATCCAAAACCAGCAACGCTTCTTGGACATCGGTGGCCAAAAATCTGAGGACGCCTCACACCTAACGGTTAGGTGAGAATTTTTTCTGGTGCATGCTTTTGAGTAGCGCGTACTTTTGGGTGGAAAGGACTTGCCGGTAGTCAATCACGTTTCGTTCGTATAAAGACCCATATGAACCGTAAATGCTGTGCCGTGAGAAAATATCGTGAGATGTGTCCAGTGGTAGAAAAAAGTGGCCAATTGTGGAGATGCCATAATTGAAGCAAAAAGTAAGAATGACAGTCTACAGTCAAGGTCTGTAAATGTCCGTAAATGTCAACCCAAGTCGACAGAGGAGCGGAACACTGGAACACCTGTCGTGACTTTAGTGCTTCTGAGCACGACGAGGTAAGTAAAGGTGGTAGTGGACCACAGATGACGAAGTGATGTGGTTAGGTTGCTATATTCATTTACGTTGTACTCAGCAGTAAGGCTACTTCGCTTGCCATGGACCATCAAATATTTGTGGGAATATCCGTAGGAATCTGTCAGCTGACGTATCGGTATTGCCCGACTTGAATATGTGGGGAATAATGTGTATAGAAAGAGCAAGCACTTTGGGGATACAATAAACTAATCGTTTAAAAGTGGGCAGTTCAGTAAACACACCTGAACAAGCCAGCAAGGCGTGAAAGTATCTCGACTGTACGTCGGAGACCAGCAGTTCGGAGGTCGGAATTGATTGGCAGACGGATGAACGGAAGCCGAGGACAGCCCAGTTCCTTTTTGGTACGTCGAACGTGGATGTGCTGAAGCCTCAGTTCCATCGCTATCTGATTGGACGGCCGGCGAAAGTATTTGGCACACCTTGGATGCGGATTGGACAAATGTAAACTTTAGAATTTGTGCCTACTTGTGCAGATAATAAGTAGTGTGGACGTTATGGCGCATTAACCCGAAGACGGCGGAAGCTTTCACCGGTAAGCGACATTGATAACCACAAAATGCATAGACTGTTCCCCACTGGGGTTTGAACATATTGGCTGGTTTACTTTATTTTTTCAATTTACTGAAGCCCCGCTATGGTACTGCCACAAAAGACAGCTGATTTTTTTTTCAATTTAAAGCGTTGAAACACACCGAGTCATCAATAACCAAGGACCACTACTAGGTCTTATCATAGTCCAGACGCACATAACCGCTATCACTATCGACAACCAACATCAGTGTTCAACAGTGGTACTTTGCCGCACTATGACTATAATTTATTTGAAAGCCTTATTGTGAACAGGATAAAAATAGGATGGAGAAGGGACTTAGTGCTAGCCTAGTACAAACATCCGCCGGGGACCCACACCTCCAGACACCCAGTCAGGCCATCTTGATGAAGACTGATGACAAGGCCACTGAGTTCGTTTAGCAGCCATATGCCGGGCGAATCTCACAGACATTAACCAAACCTTTCATAATCTCTTTCACATTCCCCCTCCAGGTCGAAGGTTGACCACTTCTCGGCTTGCACCGCTGAATTGGGAAAACACATAACAGCAATCTTTTCAATGAACGATGACTGGACATGCGTAACACATGACCAAGACATCGGTGATGTTTTGCCCAAATGCACGACCACTTATGCGGAAAAACTCTAATCAAAAGCAGAACAAAGAAGAGGGACTTAGTGCAAGTCCCCCAAAAAGCAGACTCCAAGTATTCACTTGGAAAATCTGGACAGAAACTGACGCAACAAACGTCACTGATAGCAGTTAGCAGCTTATAACGTCTTCACCGAAAAACACGGATTACATGAATCCCTCTGTTGTGACTTGTTGAACGGTAGCGCAACTCTGTATCGGTCCCTTGGCTTCCTGTTCCGCCCACTTTGGTGTATCAAAACGCACGGTAGCTCTACACAGCCCTTTATGCAGACAAAAGGAGAATCAGTACATCTGTAATTATAGAGTAATCTCACAGTGTTCCACAAGGTCGTGCTAGGGTCACCGTGAAGGGACGAGAAGCGTCAAGTCGAAGATGCTCGATCCGGATTGGTTGGCATTCTGACCAATCAGAGCATGTCTTCGTTTGGTACGTGTCTTGCACGTGACATCCGTCCAAGTGATGTGATGTTCGGTTATTAGGGGCGGCTGGCCTCCGTACACCCTCCATGAAAATAAAATAGCATTGATGATACCTAGGCCTTCCTTAACCGCCTCTTTCAATTTTGTCGCAATATACGTGGCCACATTTCCACCTTGAAAAACAACCCCCGCGGTACATGACCGAGCCCTATGCATCCCACTGATGAGGAAACTAACTATTCAACCGTCCCCTGAAGTGCTCGTAGAAAAGTCAATTCTAGTTCTGAATCCGGGACGTCTATAGTCAGGGAACTTCACCGGTAAATCGCGACCACGCGACAGTATTGTGGTTCGATACACATGAAACCACCAGATAAGTCTCTCTGACGCTAAATTAGTCTGATAAACATAATTCTCGAAAATTGCAACTGAAACTATTTTTAGTACTCATAGACAGTGGGAACGATCCTTTACTAGCAAATGTAAGACTACCGATCTTTACTAGAATATAAACGAAAAAGGAACCTTTTCATAAGGAAACTACATCTGCCACTCTTGCTATTCGCCACGTGGTATACAGAGACACACTATAGACTGTACTTGTCATTTCTACGTTATCTGGCATTTGAGCTTACAACATGTCTCTGTTTACAGAAATGACTTGATTCTAATAGGCAAGAATTTGACAGAGGTTCCTTTTTCGAGAAATACACTAATTTGCAAATCAATTTGGTTTTCACAGGAGACTCAATTGAATCTCTCGTTTATGATGTCCTCCAGCTGAATATGCTGCACACAGGCCGCCTCATGATTCAGTTGGCACGATATTCGAACATATACTGCGATATCTCAAATATCGTGCCAATTGAATCATGAGGCGGCCCGTGTGCAGCACATTCAGCTGGAGGACATCATAAACGAGAGATTCAATTGAGTCTCCTGTGAAAACCAAATTGATTTGCAAATTAGTGTATTTCTCGAAAAAGGAACCTCTGTCAAATTCTTGCCTATTAGAATCAAGTCATTTCTGTAAACAGAGACATGTTGTAAGCTCAAATGCCAGATAACGTAGAAATGACAAGTACAGTCTATAGTGTGTCTCTGTATACCACGTGGCGAATAGCAAGAGTGGCAGATTTAGGGCAATAACCCAAAGAGAACTGCGGGAAAGCCTTTGTGTCCAATGGAAAGAGTAGTTTGATTTCTTTCCAACGCATCAGATTTCAACCCGAGTTCGCGTAAAGTTGTCCCTGAGGTTTTCGTCTTCTTACTATTCGCCGTGCTAGGAGTCTGGATCAAGCAACATAGCGATGGAAGGAATATTGTCACAGTCCGCATATCTTATTGTTTGCTCGCTGCTGCCACACTGTGTGACCTTGGGCAGAAGACGTATTGCATGAAGACATATACTACTTCAAACTCCCGTATTCAACATATAGTTTTACGAAAACTCTGTTATCCTGACTGCTGACCCTAGCCGTACGGGATGATGTGAATTCCTGGGGTGGGAAATTTGCTCGTGGATCAATCGATAATATGGAGCAGAGGAGTATCACGCCGTTATAATCATGTCTAGAGCCTCCGGCTATTGTGTACAGCAGGCTTCGTAAGGATCACTGGGATAAGGGCTTTCACGTAAGGGATTTCGCCCAGTAAAGTGCTTAGGACCGGTAGTACCCAATGATTCCGAGGTACACACTAGTTCTGGAGACAATTCCGTGGTAAAACGCACTTTAAAAGTCGATAGAAGGATACTGAACAAACAGCGGAGTTGGTTCACACTGCGAGCCAGCCAGAACTTGTTCCTGAGTTCATATCTACTCAGAAGATTGAAACAGTATTTTCTTCGGATACTAAGTATACGATAATGCGCAGCTAACAATGTTTACTTTACCAATTTACGGAGTTTGCTCTTCTCTACACTCCCAGCTGAATGCCATCAGGATAACAAACAGAGCATGTTGAAGGGGAAAAAATCAAAAACCTTCGGCTGCTTGTTGTTGTTAGTGAATATCTCCGGCAAAAGTGTAGAAGTAAGTAGCGGAACTAACTGGTTCTTACTTCAAGCAAAGGACCCGGCACCTTTCCAACAATATTGGCAAGCAAATTGAGGCAACCAGCACGCAAATCGACCACGCGAGTATCGGCGCTGGTACGATGGAGAAGTTGACGTAAAGCCGGTAACAGGCTCGTCAGAAGACCCGGCTGGAGACGTTGGTACGGTGTGATGAGTACCAGCGTCGTGAGGGCTTTTAGAAGCAATGCCTAGAAAGAAATAGATTGTAGCTGTAACGGTACGAGAGCAATGACATGAACAGTGCCTAACAGACAGACAGAGAGAAAACACCTGGGGTTCAGTTAGCACGGCCATGATAAGTACACGGTCATCTGACAAAGCTACACGCATGGCTCAAGATTGAACAAATTCGTCAGTTCAGACAGCAAAATTCACATGCGGTCCCCGCGGGCGAGATGACCCAAGTGGTTAGAGCGCGAATTTACTGATCGGAAGGTCCGTGGTTGGAACCCGACCTCTGCCTCTCGACTTCTCCTGTCTAGGCTTGGGCAACCTGGCAGTATCTCAGCCCTCGTGCAACCTTCGGGTGGCATGGCAGCTAGGCACCGGAAGGGTGTTACAGCTGGACGATACAACATTGGGTGTTGATCAGGCGTGGATACTCTTTTTTCACATGTGAAACTTCTTCATGGCGGGGTAATGTTAGCCATATCTTGGAGCCACCATTTGGTTCCATGAGACATTTGGCGGCCAACCGATAAGCAATCACGTTAAAGCCCACTAGCTCATGTCCAGCTGTAGCACCCTTTCGGTGCCTAGCTGCCGTGCCGCATGAAGGAGGCATGAGGGCTGGGATACTGCCAGGCTGCCCAAGCCTAGACAGGGGAAGTCGAGAGGCACACGCTGCCACAGTATGGTCAGCACCGCGGTGCTACAAAGAGGGAGTGGACTGTGTGCCACAACTGATGACCAATGTGGATAAAAAAGACACCTAATCAATCAGTGCCCCCTTTATGAAGGGCGCGTTTGAGTGATCTCAGATGCATTGCAACATGGTGGAAAACATCGATTTTCAAAAACCGTAAAGCAATTGGTCCTCTCTAGGAAACTAGTCTAACATAAAACCACCCTTCGAAGGAGACCACTTTTAGTTAGGAAATTATATTCACTTTACGAGAGGCCACCTCCCAGAACAGGCCGGTTTTGATCGACCGTCCAGAATAAAGCTACCCCACCTTATGTGACCAAAACACCAGTGATGCACCAGCCGACTTCGAAAGCCAGTTCGACCGTAGGTAGTGTAAATGTACTCAGATGCCTGCCAAAGTCACTGATAGTGATAATCGTTCAGCTGTAACACCCGTTCGGTGCCTAGTTGTCATACCACACGAAGCAAGCACGAGGGCTGACATACTGCCAGGATGCTCGAACCTAGACAGGGGAAGTTGAGAGGCAGAGGTCGGGTTCGAACTACGGACCCTGCGGTCAGTAAATTCGAGCTCTAACCACTCGAGCAATCCCGCCAAACCCACTAACAAAAAGAACACTAACTGTGCTGAACAGTGCACCCGTGAACTAGGGTATCCAGCAAAAGCTATATCGAAAGCAAAATTTGACTTTCCGGCACAGAAATGGGTGTTTCGGAATGCAGATAACTACTGGTTGCGAAGGCGGATAACAGACAAGCTGAGTAAACACAGATGACTTTACCTAGTTCAAGAAAAACACAGACAAGCGAAAAAGAACCACGGAGCTTCCAGCCAGTAAATTAACTCTCTAACCACTGAGCCATCTCGCCCCCGGGCTTTGTATTCAGCTCATGGCCATCCATGAAGCCATGGATGTTGTAATACACCGGGTTGCCTGCAACCAGAGACTCGCACACGAACACAATGAGTCGTCTCATACCGATCAGTGGGGCGACATGGCTCAGTTGATTAGAGAGTGAATTTACTAACCTCAAGGTCCTTGGTTCGAACACGACTTCTGCCTCTCGACTTCCCCTGACTAGGCTTGGGCGACCTGGCAGTATCCCAGACATCGTGCATCCTCCGTGTGGCATGGCAGCTAGGCACCGGAAGGGGGCTAAAGCTGAAGAGTTTCTTTCTTTTCTTCACCCTAGATCGTAAACTTTGTG